ACCACAGAGGCCATACCCCATACTGCTTGCCCAGAGGAAGATAGGAAGGGGTCTTCCATACCAGCCACTCACCTCTCACCAGAGTTCAGACACCAAAGTGGAGATCTTCTCCCTTTGGGGAATTAGTGTGGCAGCTCCTTGCAGAATAATAGAGTTATTAAAACCAAGGCTCAGTTCCTATTTCTTAGACCCTGTCCAGCAGCCCCAAAGACTAGGCGTGGTTGTATGTGACCTTAGGAAGGGTTCTTTATCTCGCTGAGCCTCAGTGCACCCATCAACTACCTGGCGATATTAACCCCTGCCTGAAAAATCTCATTTGAATGTTGGGCAAAATATACCCAAAAAAAATTGCTAAAGGAAATATCCAAAAATGGAAGAGAGTGAGTATTTAAAATAAGTAGAGTGTGAGAGAAAAGTGTCGACCAACTGAGTGCAGAATCCCAAGAGCGAGTAAGGAGAAAGTAAGGGAAGGAGGTACATCTAATCCATCTTGGTGTCTCCCATGTCCCGAACCAGTGAACACTCCACAAACAACTGTCGAACGAAAGAACAGCATGTAAAACAGAATGGGCTGGTGAGATTTCTCAGGGCACACAGCAGAGAAAAAGAAGATTCGGAAAACAATGGAAATTCAATCCAATTCAGCCATTTTTAAATACTTACTTGTGGGCAAGGCACTGTGTTAACCGCTGGGAAGTCACAAAAATAATAGAAAAACTAAACAAAGCAGGGAAACAAAAGTTTTCAAAGATTATTTAAACCTTTGGAGGACAATTTGGCTACAATTATCAAAATTTTAAATATGCACCTTCTTTAGCCCAGCAATTTCATTCTGGAAATCTATCCTAGTGAGGAAAGATTGAAAGAAAGTTCAAATGAGATTCTCTCCGTTTCTATATTGACTTACATTCCATGGTCCAGAATCTAGATCCATGGCCACCCTTCATTGCAAGGCAGTGCAAGTCTCCTGTGTAACTTCCAGAAAATGTCCCTACGGGGAAGAGGTATGCTCTTCTCAGCCTTTTCTCCTTCCTGGCCGCTGAAGTTGCAGATTTGCATGGAGCTCAAGAAGCCATCTCAGACCACGAGATGGACGCCCCATGCTGAGGATGGTGGAGTAACACGAGAGAGGGATGCTGGGTGTCCGAGACTTCAAAGCCACCCGAACAGGCCTGGTCTAATTACCACCAGACTTCTTTTACATGAGAAATAAACTTCTTTTCAGCCACTCTTTGGGGAGGGTTCCCTGACATATGCAGCCAAATTTCGTTTTAACTGACACATGGGGCAATCTGTATCCTTAAAACCTCTGTCCGCTCCTCACAACAGCCCTCTCTCTCTCCTGGCTTCTACCTTCCAAGAAGACCATGCACTCAAGCTGGCGGTCACAGAGGTCTTGCAGGGTAACAGCAGCTCACAAAGCTGGAAGGGCAGGAGCCTGGCTTCTCTGCAACACATCTCACTGAGCCCCAGGGGGGTCCTTCCTCTGGCTCGGGTCCTACATAGCTCCCTGTATGACACTGTCGGGGCTCAAAGCACCTGAGGACAGTCAGAATCAAGATATCTCCAGGCAGAGGGGATTTTTCCCAATGGTCTCGGCAGTTCACATCGTTTATCCGTGTATCTGTTGATGGACACTACAAGTGCTTCCAACTTTGGCTATGACAAACAATGTTTCTGCTAACATTCGTGTACAGGTTTTTGTTTGAACACCTGTTTTCAATTCCTTGAGATATATACCTGAGAGTAGAATTGCTGGGTCGTATGCTAATTCTATGTTTAACTTGTTGAGGACACACCAAGCTTGTTACTTTTTTAACGTGGCTACCAGAAAATCTGAAATGACATTATGTGGCTCACATTCTATTTCTGTTGGAGAGTGCTGCTCTGCATGTTTCTTTCTGCCTAGGAATTCTACTGGTACTAATCTCTCATTTATGCATACTCCACCTTCTTCCAAACAGGATTTGAGGAACTTAATACCAAAAAACAGATTACGCGAAACTGAAAATCATTAAACCAAGAATTAAAAAAGAGTGGCCGGCCCCGTGGCCAAGTAGTTAAGTTTGTGTGCTCCGCTTCGGTGGCCCAGGGTTTCACTGGTTCAGATCCTGGGCGCGACATGGCACCGCTGGTCAGGCCATGCCGAGGCGGCGTCCCACATGCCACAACTAGAAGGACCCACAACTAAAATATACAGCTATGTACTGGGGGGCTCTGGGGAGAAAAATGAAAAATAAAATCTTAAAAAAAAAAAAAGAATAAAAAAGGAGAAGTGGGGCCGGCCCGGTGGCACAGTGGTTAAGCACACACGTTCCACTTTGGCGGCCTGGGGTTCACTGGTTCGGATCCCGGGTGCGGACATGGCACCGCTTGGAAGGCCATGCTGTGGTAGGCATCCCACATATAAAGTAAAGGAAGATAGGCACAGATGAACCTGTGGGGCCAGTCTTCCTCAGCAAAAAGAGGAGGATTGGCAGCAGTTAGCTCAGGGCTAATCTTCCTCAAAAAAAACAAAAAAATTAAAAAGAGCAGAGACAAGTAATAAAAGAGGGTAGCAGGAAGAGATTAATTTTATCAGAGAAACTGAATAACAATAGCTGACATCTGTTGAGTGCGCATTTTGTGTCAGGTTCTGTGCTAAGTGCCTTCTTTATAAATTGACTCTTTCCAGCAATCCTACGAGGTGGGTAATGTGATAACGTTATTATCCTCATCCATTTTGCACAGAGTTAATAAGTAGCAGAAGAGTCTAGATTCAAACCCAGGTCTCACTCCAAAACGCAAGCTCTTGGCTTCCTAGTAGCCAAGGCAAAAATGAAACGGTTCTGTTGATGCCCAATAAGTTATCTCCCTGCCCATCCTCATGATAGCTCATCAGGAGAGGGAAACTTTTTCTGACCTTGAGCTCCACAAAGAATTTGCCCTGTAGCTTCATACAAGGACCACTGATACAACGTGATGGATAACGTCCCCAAGATAAATGTTACCCAAATTGAGGAAGCATTCCATATCATAAGGGAGGGCATAATGTTAGGTTTTAAATTATTAAGTGCAGTTCAGTTGGGATCTGCAGTATGGACTCAGCTATGTAACTTTTTCTCAAACTGGTTTGAAAAAGCCAGGAGGAACTCAGACAATAGATAGTGAACTAGGCTTCTAGAATATCGTTTTGTTTTTCTTGCCTGGAAATGGTCTATCGCTTAGACCTCTGCTGCCCTCTAGTGGCTGTGAGAAGAAAAGTACCCAGCAAAGAATTCTTTCCGCTCAAACCCCTCGCCCCTTGCTGCTCCCACATTGGCCTCCAAAGCAAGGCTGAGCTCAGGGTCCGAGAGGAGGACCATCTGAGCTCCTACCACTCCAAATAGGTCTTGGCCCCTCAATGAACACCCTCACCCCATCTTGCGTATCTGGCTCTGCCCCTAAACTCAGAAATTCCATTTCATTTCCCTGTACTGGGTGCACAGTGTCCTAGTCCAGACTGGAGCTGGGCCTAGGTCATTGTTGGAAGAAAGCAATGCAAGAGCTGGTATCTGATGGTCAGTATGTCAGAACAGGATAGCAGAGTTACCAGAGTATGAATGAGAAAGTATGAGAGGGAAAGTATGACTGAGTCAGAGATGTCCAGGGCCAACCTCCTCCCACCTGGGACCTGCTCTGCTGGGAAGAGAGAATCTCAGGGTTGAAAAGTCAGCAGCTCCCACGTGGACAGGGTGAGATCCCCAACATGAGAGGGAAAGATCTGGAAGGGACCCCTCTTCCAGTGTCTCAACCGGAGCTACGCCTGGGGCTCACACCTCCCTCTCCAGTCCTGCCCCCCATTTCGGCAGAAAATCATCCTACAGCATTTTAAGATTCCCAAACCATTGTGCTTCACTAAAACCTCTTCTGTACTGATTTTTTAAACTATATGCATGTATTATCTTGATTTTTTAAAATAAACAATAAAATGATAAGCAAAACAATGGAACGGGGATCTGCCAAAATGTTCAGCAACCCATCACACTGACACCGGTCCTTCTTAGTTCCCTATAACAAGAGCCTAGAGCCATGAGTGTCCCTAGAATGGCCACTGCGAGGCTGACACAAGCCGCTCGTTCAGATCAGGCAACACTGACATGTCTACTCTACTCAAAGAGATGAGTATTCTGAACCCAGTAGAAACCAGAATTTCATGTATCAGTGTGAAAAGAGAGGAGGAAAAGGGTGCACAAAAACACAGGAGTGATGGGAAATTTTTAAATTATACCTCACCTTTCCCCCTTAAAGTTGGAATTACAGAAGTACTTTTGCAAAATTGAAGGTGAGCACCAATACTCATTTTTTCTTATTATTATAAAAGCACTGCCTACTTAGTTATTTCTGTCCAAATTTTAAATGCATATGTCCTTTGACCCCGTATGACTCATACAGTTCACCTACCTACCCAAAAAGCATTCTCTCCTTGTTTCTTGCTAATAGAATCTTGATTGTTATATCCCAGTGGGCACCTCCCTCAACCTCAGGGATGAAGCGTGATTCATCTAAGACAGTCATGTTTTCCCATTCCCTTCTGCAGACATTTACTTTCCTGGCCTCCCTTGCAGCGACAGTTCTGGCCAAGGAGATGACAAGGAAGTCTGGGAGTAGGGGAGGGCCTCTGGGGAAGATGGCCTCCGTCATTAAAAGGAAATTTTGATGTAAAGGTCTTTTCACCATTGCCCTCTACACATACCTTCTTCCTACTGTGACATCTAGAGCTGCAGCAACCATCCTACACCAGTGAGGTGACCAGAACAAGGACAAAAGCCAAAACACTGAGGATGGTAGAGAAGGAAGAAACGAGCCTGGGCGTTAGTGTGTAGTTGAGCTGCTGCACCTGCCTCACTGCCTCTCTCCAGACTCCAACCGGAGAAAATTAAATGTCTTTATTGCCTAGCCCACTGTTAGTCGGGTTTCCTATTACTTGCAGCCCAACAATTTCCTAATCGATAGACTCAGGAATTACATTCATTCTTTCATTCATTTAACAAATATTTATTGAGGGTCTATTTTTTTGCCAGGCTCTATTTAAGAAACTAGAGTTCTATTATTAAGAATTTACCTAGATTTACCTGCAAAAGTAGGCCAAGATTTATATATACAAGGATATTAATGTCCAAGAAGAGATGACTGGTCAAATTAGTTATTTTCATGAAGTTCTATTAAAAGAATGTATGTGATGACTTAAAAGATCTCCAAGATATAGAATATGATCCATTGTGTATACATAAGAAATGTAATTTTTTAAAATTGTCTTGTCCCAGGAACGTAAAGACATCCCCTCCCTACAGCAAAGTTACCTGTCTTAGAGCCAAGGCCTGGCCCCCAAGGAAGGAGGACCAAGGTGAGAACACCCAAGCAACTACAATAAACTAGCCACTCACCGTAGTTCCATCCCCAATTTGCATTCTCCAACAAAAGAAAGGTGAGCAGACCCAAAAGGAGGCCTGACTGTCCCACTCCTGGAGCTTGAGACAGACATCTATGGCAAGTCACCCTAGGTTTAGCTTCCACCCATCTCTCCCCTAGCCACACCCAACCAGCCCCATTTTTCAGTGTTCTTAGAAAGAATGTATCACCCATCCCTTCCTAAATAAGCAAGTCCCATGATCCCACAGCCATGCTCAGACCTCTAGCTCTCTTTCCTCATCTTAGCCCCTCAAACAGCACAGACAAGAGGGTCAGCACCAGCCTTTCTTGGGGTAAAGAAGCACCACACACCCATTGTCCAAACCCAGGGCTGTTTCCTGTGCTCAGGACAACAGCAGGAGCAGAAGCAGTGCAGAGAGCAATGAGAGCCCCTGGGAGTGTCACAAGCTCCAGGACATCACTCTCTCCTGGCTGCCACAACAAGCCGCCTGGAGTCACCAGAGAAGCTCAGGACAAATCAGGACAGCTAGGGCACTGGGATCTCTGCAAGAAGAAGAAACATTAAGTCACAGCTGTGCCCTCCTGGCTGCAGCTCCCCAAGGTTTCCCCTCCACTCTAGAGAAGCTGGGCATATACTGCTCTCAAAAGCCTTAAATGGCTCCCTGCTTCCTAGACAATCCAGTCCAAACTGGCAATGAAGACTCTTGTCATTCAGATGTCAACCTTATAGCTCCTATTATAAAAAAAGCCTGTCTGTTGTTTTACCACTCTCCCCCCACTCCCACCCTGGCTTCCCAAACATACATTCTACCCTCTGTGCCTTTGCTAACAATCACCAGACCACTTGTCCAGCATGTTCTCTGTGCTATCTTCCCTTTGTCACATTCTGCTTAGCCTTTAGGGCCTAGATTAAATCCTACTTCTAGAAAGACCTTCCGAAGGAGCCATATCTACTCTGAATGCCTATAAGCCCATATTGTCTATACAAGAGTTCTGATTTGTGACATATGATCTCTCTCTCTAACTAGACTCTCCGGGGCAAAAACTTTGTCTTGGCCTTCCAAATTTCCCTACCCAGCACCTGAGCCAGTGCTTTGGACACAGCAGTAAGTTCACGGTTATTGATAATAATAGACTGGACTCACCTCATTCAGAATCAGATGTGATGCCCACTTGGGTTTCATGGCCAGCTAGGGATAACAGAACTGCCGGGACACAGAAGCGGCCACAGCCTGACTTGCAGCACTTTTCCCCAGCTTCGCAGTTAGCATCAGACACGCAGTTGAAAATGCACAGGCCCAAGAAAACCTGTGGACACTCACCGTCCCGCCCTGCAGGATAAACAGGCACAGGTAGAGAAACAGAATGGTTGGCTCCACTGACTCCAAGTTCCCATCTGGGACTTAGATAAGGGGGCTCCAGGTGAATCCATCCCTGACTCTAACTAGATCTTAACCAAGATCTGGCTGGGAAACCTTAAAGTTAGAGAATCTGAGAATCTGTAGGGCCTCAAGAGAACATTCGGACCAACAGTTTTCAAATGGCATCCACGGGGAGTTCCCTAGAGGTACCTCAGTGTTTTATACCTCTGTGGGTTTGGGGGTGGGGCTGGGTGGAATGCAGAAGGGGCAAGGTTCCCAGACCACCACTCTCTCCCCTGATGCTTGGGCTTCCTACTACCCCACACTGGCTTCCCCTAGTTCCTTCAGTGCCAGCATGGGCCCCTTGACCCCAGGAGGGGGATTGCATTGGTTTGGAGTGCTAGGAGGACAGGAAGGATGAGAACTCTGACTCTTCCCAGGAAGAGAAAGAGAAGGCGGCCACAGATGGCTCCCTCCCAAATGGACTCAGACTCAAAGAGCACTCAAGGATTTCTTCCCCAAAGAGCCCACATACCTCCCTCAATGTCTCCACGGCAGATGCGTCCACAGCCGGTGCTGCAGCATTTATGCCCCTGGGGACAGGAAGAGTCCCCATCACACAGATTCTCACACGGGTTGGGGTCAGCAGGACATTCAGCAAACTCTGCCATAGAAACAGAGCATTGAGACCAAGAGGTGCTCAAGCCCAATGTTTCTAGTTATTTTTTATGGACTCTGAGTACAAAATACATTTTTTCATAGTGTCCCATGTGTATGTTAATACATAGGTAGGCTAAAAATGTACATACTTATGTGCATACATGTATATGCAATGCTGACACTTTATATTCTGCTTCTATTTTTAATGCTAGCCATAACTACTAAATTGATTTCTAGACTCACAGTTTGAAAAACACTGATGAACTCTAACCCGTTATAGCAGGCATTCTAGTTGCCATCTTCGTATTCATTCTCCCTCCTTTCTTACTGTGGTATACATCTACGCCAGTGGCCCCCAATAAACCACACCTCCTGGAATTCATGCCCTTGTGTAACCCCCTCCCACACTGTATCTGGGCTTGACCCTGTGACTTCCTTTGATCAACAGGACATCAGCAAGTGTGAAAGTGTGATGCAAGTAGAGGCTTGAAAAGCACTTGTATATCGGGGCTTGTCCTCTTAGAACATTCTCCTGGAAACCAGCCGCCATGCTGTAGAGCAGCTCTGGCTAGGCTACAGAATGATGAGAGAGGACCTGGAGGAGGAGAGACATCCTGGACATTCCAGCCAGTTGAGCTCCCAGCTGAGCTCCCAGTTGTATGCAGCTGCATGAGTGGCCTCACCTATGCCGTGTGGGTATAAGAACTGCCCAGCTAAGCCCAGCCAACCCACACAACTGTAACAAAGAATAAACTGTTGTTATTTTGAGCCATTAAGCTTAGGGATGGTTTGTTAGGCAGCAATAGATAACTGAAACTTGTTAAGAGAACCCCAGGTTTATTCTGAGAGGCAATGAGCCTTGCCAGCTAAAATGATTTTCTTTCCCATAGTCCCTTGTAACTAGGGGTGACCACAAACTAAGACATAAGCTGAAAAACTTCTGCATTCCTGATACAGAGAATACATTTTCAAACTGCCACCTTGCTTCTTTCTTCTTCCAGTGCAAAGACAGACATAATATAGGGACGACGAGCAGCTTTCTTTCAACCATGAAGCAACTAGGGGGACAAAGTCAAGGACTGCAAAGGAGAAGAAGAGAAATAACCTGATCCTTGTTAGTATCAGGAAGCCACCACGCCAGCCCTGGTGCCTACTTCAGGACTTCTTGTTCTAAGAAAAAAACAAACCCCTATTTAGTTAATTTTCTGTTGTGTCCAACCAAATACATCCTTCATGTGGCCATCACTGCCCCTATGAAGATAATGAAACTCAGAGAAGAGAAGGGGTTTTCCCAGAACTAGAGTGAGTCAGTGGTAAAACGGGATGAAACTCAGCCTCTTGGTTTGCAATGAAGCACTCTTTCTACTACACCATCCTTAAAACATGCAGGCAGTGGGCCAGGTCCTGGGGGACCGGCACACCCAAAGAAGCCACATCCAAATCAAACCAACTCACCATGACTCACTCATCTCAGTGTTTATTTCAAATTTTTTAAATGGAGAAAAAAAAGTGACAGGCAATTAAAGGCTTTGTAGAAAACCAAATCAGGACTGGCCCAGTGCCTCTGAGTAGGAACATGTGAGTACGACTGCATATGGCTGGCTCCAGGAAGTCTGCCACGATGGAAAAAGTAAGTGTTGGACCCCAAGGAGAACAAGCACAGCTAAACAATCAATAATCCTGTGTCCTAGGATTTTCCAAAACAGCCCCTAGTTTAAATATTCTATGCCACTGCCAGGTCACATCAAAACTATGTGTCCTCATTTTTTAAATCCCAACAAACAATCCCTGACTCTCAGCTCAAACATCTGGAATTCATGGGGCCCCACTACCTCCAAGCCAGACTATGCCATCCTCATACTTACACTAGACACGCTTAAGTTTAAGAAAGTTATTTATGCTCAGCTGAAATCTATTTCCATCCATTGGTCCTTTTCCTATCCCCAGAGACTTTGCAGCAACATGACTCATGCCATCCCCTTAGACAGAATCCTCTGCCTTTCACTGTCTTGGCTTTGCCGCGCTGGGTGAGCTCAGTTCCTTATATTGCATGGTTTCCAGTCACCTCACGGTTATCTTACCAAAAATCAGGATGAGAAATAAGGTAAAGAAAGCCAGGAAGATCTACTGTGACTGTCCCAAGAATCTCTGCATCCAGTCCTGCTCTACCGAGATGCCATCTCCACAAATGAGGACCCTCACACTGGGAAGAGGCAGGAGATGACTTCTACTCTAGTCACTTTCTCTTACTGTTAGCCAGGGATCCCACATGATAGCTCACCATGCTTTCCTGCAGTCACCCAGGATGCCAGGGACCCAAGAACGAGAAGTGCTTTCATGAGGAAGAAGCAGCTCGACATGATGAGGAGGCTGACAGCTCAATTCAGGCCAGACGTGTACACCTTGCGCAGATTATCAACCGAGGGAAGAGTAGGATTAGGGGATTGGCTTAAACCCAGCCCCAAAGTCTTCCCTTTCACAACAAAAAACACATCGTCTCCTGACAAGAAGAAAAGTGATTGGTTGCTGGTGTGTGGGAGGATTCCTGGCACTACCAAAAGACACATGTGATGGGGTGAAGGGGTTCAAAACAGGCCTCCCAAGATGTGCCACTTTGGCATGTGAAATATTTTGAGGTAAAGGCAATCAGGACCCTGAGGGCTTGAGAACATTTTACCTCTCCCTCAAAGAATTTAAATTGGGGCCCTGCTCGTCATTACCAGAAATAACTTTTTATGACCTATCTGTATGGCAGGGCAAACCTCTAATTACTGAACCTCTGCTCTTTTTATCATCCTGTGAATTACCCTCCTCCCTTCTGAAGCCTCAGGCCTCTAGCCCATTCCTTAGCTCAAGATGGAATATGTACCTCATTTTACCTTTTTGTCTCTGAACCTCTCATGTATGTGGGGTCTCTGACACTCTCATGTATGTGGGGTTCCCGAACATACAAAATTAGTTAAATTTGATTTTCTCCTATTAATCTGTTTTGTGTCAATTTAATTCTTAGGCTAGTCAGGAGAACCTAGAGAGCAGACAAAATTTTCTTCCTCCCCTACAGTTGGCTATTAGGACAGGAGAAACTTAACTGACTGCAGGCTGCTTGCTCTGGGATAACTGCAGCTCAGGGATCCTGGACCTCTGTCTAATTTTGTCTTTTGTCATAAGAAGGAAATTCCATAGGCAAAGTCGGCTCATGGCTATTACCGATTGGAAGAGTTTCCCTGCTTGAGCCACTCACAGTATGAGGTTTTTCCTGCCATCTTGTTATATGCCCTGAGAGCTTTGGTTTTTTGATCAGTGAGAAAATTCTCTCTGATCTCCACCCATCTGGAAGGTGCATTTACCAAGGTGCATCTGGTGGCCAGTCAAATAGACTAGGGTTCTGAGACACTGTTTGTCTCCCTGTGTCTCCTCTCAGTGAAGTCATAAAGGGATCTCAGTCCATAAGAGGCCTTTGTTGTCTCATCCTTCATTGCTTGTTAGTGCTGGAAAAATCCCATTCCAGTAGCTCCCGCCTGGTGTCACAGATTAGCAGGTTTGTGACTGGAGGCATTCCATGTTTTCGTGGGAAACTGGAGACACCATTTTATCCTTAGTGCCTGTGCAACAAAGACCTTTGCTTTCCTAGACTGTCTTTGGAAGTGAAGTTTTTGGATCTTGGGAGGCCTGCATCCTTTGCCCTCTCCTTTGGGGACACCTCTTGTGTCCATGATTAAGTCATAAAAAGGCTTACTGGTTTCAGTCACTATTAAGATCCTACTCATCAATGGCCAGACAATGGATCCTTTGAATTGGAAAAACTTCTAAATTGAAAAAAAAATTTTGTTAGAGAGAGTTCTCATATTGGTATAATGGGTAGCCATTAAGATTCCCTTAATAAGGTGGAAGGACAGAAATTAGAATAAAAATCAAAGTCCACTCAGACCCTTTCCTATTTGCCTTCAAACATTTGCAGATATTGTAAAAAATCAGGACAATGGAAGTACAATTGTCCAGCACCTAAGACAAAAAAAAAATAATATAACAGCTAGACTTAGGGACTCCCTAACAAGATGAAGGGAAAAACAATTAGGCTTAAAACAAAAACCCAACATAAAATCCTCTTCTTAAAGTCAGGCTCCATCTGCCCGTTTTAGCTTCCCTTTTCCTCCAAGATTTACAGAGAGTGCTCCAGCCTAATCCCTAAGAGTACACAGGTGACTCATGTAAATGGCTGAAGGCCAGAAAATGAACTTAGCAGAAGCACCTCGAACAGGCAGTAGGGCCCCCTTTGTTGGACTCTATAATCAGGCTCTGCCAGCTTCAGGCCTTCCCATACAAGGTCCTAGATGTCCACCCAAGGAATTCATGTCCATGGGACAAGAACAGATCTTTTGAATTATAAAGCCTTTTTACTTCCATTTTCAGAAGATCCTACCAAATGTAGGAAAGAATTAGAAAGGTCAATGGCCATTCTATAGTGCTCAGTCAAGAAAGGAAAATAAGATTTCATGTTATCCCTTCCTTTCCAAATCCAGATCCATTGGTTATTGACCCTTTCTCTCCCAGGGGTAGCTATTGCCTTCTTGCTTGTCTCATTTTGTGTCCTAAGGGTTTAGCATGGCTTTCTGTCTGCCTGGGACACGTAGGCTGTCAGTTCTTTCTTTTGGCTATCTTTGGGAGTGACTCTGGATCTGGGGAAGGTAGTAACCTTTGAGGATGCCTCTTGGGTCCATGGAGTTGTGTAACACTGCCAGAAATATTTACTGTTTGTTCCAGCTGAAAACTGGCAAGATATTTAGAAGGACTCTTTTTTTAGTAGCTCTATGGTCAAAAATTGGAAACTGATATTCAGAGCCTGATAGGAATATTTTTATAGGCCATTTTACTCAAGTTAAAATAAAACTATGTACCTAGAGGGAAAGAAGCAAATTAGGAATGATGTAGTTGGACAGGTAGATCAACCTATGATGTCCTTTAAGTTACAACCCAATTTCTGAGAAATTGAGAGCAACTGCCCTTATCTTACAAGTCTGTGCAAAACTGGAAATGCAGCTCTAGAGGCAGTACAGATTTTACCCATTCCCTTTCACCAATTCCAAAAACATCACTTATTTATCTCAGCAGGCTTGTAACTCTGGGAACTATTATCTAGACCATCATCAATTTCTAAGACCGAAGATTAAAAAAGGAAAAAGAGGCAAACAGCTATAGGAGCACCTTTGTCAAAATCTAGCATCTTAAGTGTCTTCTCCACAAATATTAATAGAAAAAAGCTTTAGCTATCTAAGCAGATAAACCTAATTTATTCCATCTGCTAGAAACAAAATTCAAATCCAACTATTCTTTCATAACCAGTGAGCTTTAGATTACAGTACCTGATTTATGGCAGTAATTTTAAAACAACAGCTATGAGGTCTCTATGTATGTGTGTCTATATATATATATGTATGTGTATGTTATAAACGTGTGATTGTTTTTACCTCCGGATGGTATAATTTCTAAAAGAGCTCTATTTAACTGACTTAAAGTAAGCACATATAATTTCTAAATATAATAGAAACTAACTCAAATGTTTTTCAAGTTAACATGATAAAACTTTTGTTCCACCTTGGTTTACTAAAAGTCAAACAAATTCATGTTGTCTTTGTTGCAAAATTTGACAGCAAAAAATTGATGGCTGACTTTGTCTAATGTCTCCTGAAGTTTTTGTAGGTAATCTAAACTTAATTATTGGGTACAAGTAAGCTAAAAGATGTAAGTAAAATAAAAATGGTTTTAGGTGAACTTTTAACAATAGTTATGTTATGGCGTATGTAATTAAAAATAGCTTCCAAAATCTTTTTGGTAACTTGAAACCCTAGAGTTTTTATAAGTTAAATGATAGGAATTTGTTGAATGTTTAGGTCATTTCCAAATAAGATAAAATCCTGAAACATTAATTGCTAAACAAATCTCAGTTTACCTACTTTTGTCTTATTACAGAAAAACTAAAGATGTTGTGTTTATTAGGAAACATGTCTTGTGCTTTATTGAAAGATTGTACTACAAAATAGCATATGTTTTCAGAAATTATGACAAGTATTTATAAATTTGTCAAGCCACAGCATGCTAATGTAAAAGACAGTTCATAATTGTTTACTTCTTTATTTTTCACTAGAAATTAAGGTTTTAAAGGCTAAAAATTCTAATATGAAGATACATTTTGTTAAGGGAAATGAGAGTAATTTATCTAAACTAGAACTTCTGAAGGACAAAACTAAATGTATACAAAAGATTGAAGAGAGAGAGAAATTTACTTTGTATGGTCAAGTTGGCTGATGATTCAATTGTTATTATAAGGGTTTTTAAATTAAGCTTTAAGAGCAATGGTGTACTTGTGCAGGACTGGAACTTGGTCCTCTTTAATTTTCTAGAAGGAAAGTTTCTTTACCTTTTTAAGTGATCTGCCTAGAAGACGAAGATTCTATGTTTCATCAAAACAATTTCCTGTGTTTGCTGTCTTTATCAGATCCTCGATTACTCAGAAAAACTGAGCCCTCTTAACATTAAAAGAGCTACGTTTTTCCTCCTACAGAAGGAAGAAGGACGGTCAGGTGGATGGGTGGACGGAAGAAGGGAAGGAAGGAAGGATGAATGCGTTAGGTGGTTAAATGGAAAAGGTTAGGTGGATGGGTGGATGGGTGTATGGATGGCTGAAAGGAGGGATGGTAGGATGGGTGAAAGGAGGGATGGGTGGATGGTAGGTGGATGGGTGGATGGATGGGTGGATGAGTCGGTGGATGAGGGGGTAGACGGCATTCCCCCTTAGGGGACCATTGCCTCCCACCCAATCCTGGTCTATCTTCTGATGGAGTTCAGGTCAAAATATGGTGTCTTGGCATGTTGAATATTTTAAGCTAGAGGAATCTGAGAAAAGGGCAGAGGCAGGAAGTTCACTCTAACTGCCTCCTTCTTCCCTGAAGTAGGTCACAAGACCCTCACATGAAAGTTACCTTCCCTATACCTGGAGGGAAGTTTTATTTCCATAGACAAAGTGATGCTAAAAAGAATCTGAAAGAACAGACCTTGCTAAAGTTTCCTCCAGTTTACTAAACTGACCTCATACCCCTAACCTATCATATTCCTCCATGACTGTCCACTCATCATGAAACCTAGCACGAAAGTACATAGGTCTAGCTGTTCCTTTGGGTCTTCATTTCCCATGCCTTGTAAAACTTATGTGAAATAAATGTGTATGCTTTTCTCCTATTTAAAAAAAAAAAAAGCTAAGTTTTGCTAACACCTATATAACCCTCTATATTTGTCTTTAAAATCTTTTATTGTTACTTTGGTTAAATAGATAATTAAGTATTATTTCATATTGATCTCTGATCCTATTTAGTCAAGTGTCCAAACCATTTGATATTTTTGACAAATTTCCCAAAATTCAAATTCAAAATAAAGTTTACTTTTTCTTGAGGAAGATTAGCCCTGAGCTAACATCTGCTGCCAATCCTCCTCTTTTTGCTGAGGAAGATTGGCCCTTAGCTAACATCTGTGCCCATCTTTCTCGATTTTATAAGTGGGATGCCTGCCAAAGCATGGCTTGATAAGGAGTGTGCAGGTCTGCAGCCAGGATCCAAACCAGCAAACCCTGGGCCACTGAAGCAGAGTGCATAAACTTAATGGCTATGCCATCAGGCCAGCCCTGAAGTCTCTTTTTTTTTTTAACCTAAAAGTAACTTTGAGAATTTCTAGAGGATCCCTGAGACTTCTGAAAGAATTTGTTCTCTCTTCCTATAAAAAGGGAGCTATTAAACTGATTAGGCATATTTGGTATGTTTAATCACATGGAAAGCACTGTCAAAAAATTATGATCAATCTTCTTAGGTTATATTGTGTGGGTGAAGGATATTAATAGAAGTGTTCTAAAAATTATATAAAATTCCTAAAAATCTAATGTGCCCTGGTATAATTCTAGTCATTATTTTAAAATCTGTGTTACAAAAAAATAACCAAATTCCCTTGTCAATTGCATTGTAATCAGATCTTTAACCATGCCATTTTAAGTCTTTTGTCATTTACAGTTATTGTTTTATTCTGATACTTTTACAAATATGTTTCAGCCTCAGAGAGATTCATAGAAAGGATTCTGACACAGACTCTAGAGTACAGATTTCTGATAAACTTTCAGATCCTAAAACTGAACTGGGTAAGGAATTACAGAACGCTAATTGAGAAAATGATGACTTCATAAAACTGCTATCAAAAGATCAAGAATTGATTACATGGGATTGAATGAACTGATGAGAATGATTATATTTTTTATGCCTTTTTATTTGAAACATTGCTTTTTTTAATGTTTTCTTTTTCCAGATTTAAGGAAATCTTTTTTCTTTTAAGCTATGACTATAACTATGACAGCAGTTTGGTAAATTACATTTGTAAGCAAAATTCAAACAGGTATCTTTTCCTCCCTATCTGACCCCTACATTATTTGTAAACTCTTAGTAAGTATTCTTATTTTCATGGCAATATAGTTATTTACGTAAGTTCAATAAGAATCGGTTCTCCTTATAACAGGACACAATTGGAAACATTGGTTATACTACCAAGGCTTTGACTAGAATGTCATATTTGAGACACAAATGTGCACAGCCTCAGATATGATCAGACAGCTTTAAGGAACCAAGATTGACTTTATGGAACCAATAAAAGCCCCTTAGACATATTGGCCTGGTACCTTGCTTACAGGCTTCCCAGCAGCCTTACCAGGTGAGTAGTGAAAGTCACTTCCTGGCAGGTGCACGAAACTCAGGGTATCTTGGGAACGTCGAGGAGAAGAATTCACCCAAATCTATAGCTGTTGCAGGCGACTCTGATAGTAAGTCCTTGGCTCGGTTTCCTGGCCTCAAGAGGCCTTTAAAAGTTCAATATGCAGATTCCTTATGAAAGGTTCCAGCAAAGCAGACTTGAAAGAGCCTATATGATCAATTGCTATTCTTTTTACACTTAGATAAATAATTGGGCCAAGTTTATTGAAATGACTTATTTTGCAAACAAATTCGTTTTAATCTGGCTATCTTTGGTAGAAATGGGGGTGATTTTACAGAGAAAAATTATGTTTCAATAGAAACTATATTACACACTTGTGGATATTAGATTTTAGAGCTATTTATTGTCTTTGAGGTTGTTTTCCACCTGTAAACTGGACTGGATTCTGAATTCTTCTAGTGCTCTCCAATACCTGGCTACAATCCTCCCAACTAACGTATCCAATTTTCTTCCGTCTTTGGACTTGGAATCATTGAGAACTAAAACTGCCCTTTTCCTGATGCCCTGCAAACTGAAGCTGAACAATTTGATATAAATTTTAGAGAAATCACCACAATGCCTTATGTATACACAATCTTTATACCTGTTGCTGTATGGGCCACTCAGAAAGATCATCAGAGACATTCAAACTGCAAACTAGGAAAATCTGTCAGACTGTCACTGCCCACCCTTACTCTATCCAAAAATGCTTTGAAAATGCTTTGAGCTGTACATCTAGAAATCTCAATTGGCTGCCTTTAGAACTGAGAAACTGAGATTATAATCTGCTCCAATCATTAACCATGGTTTTTCTTTTGTTTCCATAGAAATGCCTCTTATTAAACACCTGATTGCTTGCACCATAGACCTGACCTTGGGAGCCCACCTGCGTCACCTCCTGAAATTGAACACTACTGTTTAATTGGACTGACCTATTCTCTAAACCAACAAATTGATTCCATGAGATGGAGCAATCTACCAACTCAACTTCTAGAATGTGAAACTTCTCATGAAGTTTCAAAGGCAGGACTAAAGGGGTTCAGAACAGGCCTCCCAAGAGGTGCCACTTTGGAATGTGAAATATTTTGAGGTAAAGGCAATCAGGACCCTGCAGACTCAACAAATTTTTACCTCTCCCTTAAAGAATTTAAATTAGGGCCTTGCCCATAGAGTTACTACCAGAAAATAACTTTTTATGACCTATCTGTACAGCAAGGCAAACCTCTAATTACTGAACACCTACTCTTCTTAGCATCCTGTGAATTACCCTCCTCCCCTCTGAAGCTCCAGGCCCCTATCCCACTCCTTAGTTCAAGATGGCATATATACCTCACTTTAACTTTCTGTCTCTGAATCTCTCATGTATGTGGGGTCTCTGACCCTCTCATGTATGTGGGGTTCCTGTACATATGAAATTCATTAAATTTGATTTTCTCCTATTAGTTTGTCTCACATCAATTTAATTGTTAGACAGCTAGAAGAACCTGGAGGGTAGAGCAAAATTTGCTCTTCCTCTACAGGGGACAACCAAACTCTATAATGCAATATATACAACACATAGGGACAATGATGAGGAACCCAGTGGATAACCAGGAAAATGGAGGGATGACTCTTGGATAAAGGATTAAAGAGACCCCTAAAGGGCTTTGGAAGGG